ACCCAGCTACTCTTCTTCCAGACAGTGCCCACTCAGATACTCTCGTTCATGATTGTGAGGGGACTTTAGACAGAGTTTTTGCTAGTCGACCTGATCTAAAAGATTCTCCTCTTCCAAACCCTGAGTTAGTATGGTACACAGATGGTTCATGTTTTATTGAACAAGGGGTTAGGAGAGCTGGATATGCAGTGGTTAGCCTCCACCAAACTATAGAGGCCAAACCTCTGCCCCCTGGGATCTCTGCCCAAAAGGCAGAATTAATAGAATTCACCACAGCCCTAGAGCTCGGGGAAAATAAGTGGGTGAATATTTATACTGACTCGAAATATGCTTTCCATGTACTACATGCCCATGGAGCAATTTGGAAAGAAAGGGGATGTTTGACAGCAAAAAAATTCACCTATCAAACATGCCCAGGAGATTTTACATCTCCTTCAAGCTGTTCAAAAGCCATCTGAGATAGCTGTTATCTTTTGTAAAGGCCACTAGAAAGGGGAAAGAGATCAGGCTGTGGGTAATTCTCTGGCAGATACTGCAGCAAACAATGCTGCTGCCAAGTAACTATGCTGGCTCTTTTATTCCCACAGCTTCCTGATTCCTTCACACCTTCCCATAGGCCCCAGGAACATGCTCTTGCTAAAGAAAGGGGATATTCTCTTTCATCCTCAGGGTGGTTTCAGACACACTCTGGCCAACTCCTTGTCCCAGAAGTGAGCCAATGGAAGCTTCTTTTTGGCTTCCACCAGGCCACACACCTGGGAAAAAATGCCCTTCAGTCTCTGATAAGGCCTGTTTTACTGGCAGTTAAGTTAGGGGAAACCATTCGACAAGTCTGTCGGGCTTGCCCAACCTGTGCCCAAGTACATCCTGAAGGGGCAGTCAGACCCCCCCTCTTTTAAAACCTATTCAGAGGAGGGGTTCCTACCCTGGTGAAGACTGGCAAATAGACTTTACACATATGCCCCCGTGTAAGGGTTTTAAATTTCTTTTGGTTTTTGTTGACACCTTTACTCATTGGGTGGAGGCTTCTCCTTGCAGAACTGAAAAGGCTGGGGAGGTATTGAAGTTCCTATTAAAAGAGACTATACCTCCCCTTTGGGTTGCCTAACTCCTTACAGAGTGACAATGGCCCAGCTTTGATTTCATAGATAACCCAGGCTGTGGCAAAGACACTTAAAATCACTTACCAGCTCCATTCAGCCTGGGATCCAAAGTTCTCTGGTAAAGTAGAAAAAATGAATCATACCCTAAAGTGAGTCCTTACTAAACTGTGCATAGAAACCTGAGAAGATTGGATTAAGAACCTCCTTGTTGGGCTACTCAGAGTCCCTATCACACCTTGGGAAATTATCAAGCTTAGCCCCTTTGAACTCTTGTATGGGAGGCCCTTTTTAACCTCAGACATTCTATTAGACCCTGAACAGCATTTGATCACTCAATTTGCAACCTAATTGGGAACTGTCAGGAATGCCCTAACAAAATATGCTAATAAACATCTTCCAAAACCCCTTGACAGGAAAAAATAGGGTCATACCCCAGTACAACCTGGGGACTGGGTCTATTTAAAATCCTGGAAGATTCCTAAGAGGGAACAGTTGGATGTCAGCTGGAAGGGACCCTACCGAGTCATACTCACCACTCCAAAGGCAGTGAAACTCCAGGGCCTTCCCAGCTGGACTCATAATTCTAGGATTATGTCACCTCTTGCTTCCCCTCAGAGATTCTGGAATATACCTGCAAGCCCTTGGAGGATCTCAAGCTACTGTTTAGAAAGGCCCTAACCCCCTCCACAGGACAGGTGAATGGAAAAAAGTGAAAACTATCCATGCTCTTTTCCTTCTTCTTGAAATCATTTACGATGGTAGTGTTAATTTTTTTCCTCCTCCTCCTCCCTGATAGCTCAAACACACTTGGCCTCAGAAAATGGGAGGATAACTCCCTAGTTAAGCTGGGAAATTCATTAGGCCGGGGTGGAGTCCAGGATTGCTGGGTATGCCATTTACACACACATGGCAATTCCCATCTCCCACCACGTGCCATCTTTGCAAAAGCCCCCCTCCCCAATACGACTTTCTCAGAAGTCTATGCCACTCCATTTATGCTTGCCACTCCTCTATGGGCTACTCTGTCTATATCTATGCCTTGCTTCTCTGCTGGGGAATATTCCCTTACTTGGGGGACAAGCTCCAAGGCCACTGGACAAGTCCACACCCCTGTGAAGGGATGGCTTGTGAGAGTTTCTGCTGGCCTCCTGACCTGTACCACTTGTGTAGATACCACTAGTGACAAGTGCCTTCGGAATTTTACATCAGCTAGCTGTACCAACTGTACTGAGGGAGCATTTCCTACTTGCACCTATGACCAAATCCTTCCCCCTGCACTTCTAGTAGATTCTCCCTTTTTAAGTTTCCCTTCCAAGTTAATTCGCAATGCTACAGCCCCTTCTGGTTATAACACTCTTATTGATCTCCTAAAGACACCCCTCTCAACTGGGAGCTTAATTTGCAACCAATCTGATCCTTGGGGCATCCATACTAGAAACCTCTTAGGAACTCAGCCTATTTGCGCCCCCAAAGGCTATACTTTTCTTTGTGGTATTGGTGAACCACAGGACAAGAATTCTGGGGAAGAAGTAAGGTGAAGTGCCAACACATGGTATGACCCCAGAATGTCCTGACCACCCAGTGTTTGATACCCTACAAGGACTTTGGGGTGTGCACTCTTGGATTTTTAGCACCTCCTTTCTCCATTTTCAATGCCACACAGCCCACAGTCTCTAACTTAAGAAGGGCAAAATGTGGATTTTGAGGAAATGTCCTCTGGTCTCTTAAAAAGGGAGCAGAATATCTGATGCCTTGGGATGGTCATCTTCAACATGAACATATTCTCTCTAACCTTACAGAGACTATTCACCAGTTGGCAAATGAGACAGCCTATGGTCTTTGGGAACTCCAGCAATCTCTGCATTCCTTAGCAAAAGTAGTTCTAGATAATAGAATAGCCCTAGACTACTTGCTGGCCTCCAGTGGGGGTGTATGTGCTTTAGCCAACACATCTTGTTGCATGTATGTCAACAACTCTGGGAAGGTAGAACTCCGCACTGAACGTATTTTGGAAAAGGCTAGTTGGATGCAAGAAATTCACAATAATCTTAGTGCTCCAAAATCATCTTCTTCATGGGAGTCCTGGCTTTTTTCTATTTTGGCCCCTATTCTTATTCCCCTACTGATTATACTTCTCTTGTGTTTGTTTGGTCCATGTTTACCAAATATTCTTGCTAGGCTCCTTTCTTCTAGGGTTGGAGCCATCAACTTCCAGATGACTGCTCAGGCTGTGTACCAACCCAAGGACTCTAGCCCGCTAAACCTGGCATCAGCTGAGTTTTGAAATTTCACCCCTTGAACGGGACCCAGAGAGGCAGGGACACTCTACACCCCTTGTCAGCAGGAAGCAGTTTCAGAAGCTGAGACCTTCACCCCTTACACCTAAAGAATTTGGGTTCCATTTGTTTGAGGGGGGAATGATGGGGTATCATTCAGTTTCAGAAGCTGAGACCTTTGCCCCTTTTTGCCAAAAGGAATTTGGCTCCCATTTGTTTGCAGACTCCAGAAGACCCTTAAACTTTTAGATTCCTTATAGACTCACCTTATCTCTCTTTGAAAGCCTTAGCCTTACCTTTTGATCTTATTCAGATGCACCTTTGCCCCTAGCCCTAAAAGGAATCTGGCTCCCATTTGTCTATGGGTCCCAGAAAACCCTTAAACTTGTAGGTTCCTTAACTCTCTTTACCTCTCTTTGAAAGCAAACTTCTGCCTTCTAGTTCCCTTCATTATCTATTCCCATTGTTTATTCAATCTCTCAGACCTTCCAAAGGGAATTCTCACCTAGACCCTTTTCCAACCATCCCCTTCCCCCTTCCCTGGCCACCCAAAGTTACTTTAGTGTATAAAAGATCCACCCTGGCCCCCATTCAGGGGCTGAGAATCTCTCATGCCTAGAGGCTGAGTTTTTCTCATGCCAGCTCATCCTTACAGGCATCACCTGGCCTATGTGGTTTATCTCTAATAAACTTTTTCTCTGGCTGGAAGAAGATTTGAGTTGAATTCTTTCAGGCAGGACCCGGCACTGCTATCTTGGAGTGCCTCTGTGCACCTAGGAGCACCCCAAACCTCTAGACCTCTTCAATAGCACTTACCTCTCAGGGTTGATGTGATTCAAATAAGTTAACGTATGAAAAATGTTTTAAAAACTTTCAAGCACTATAAAAATGATAGCTATTTGCATTATTAATATCGCTTTTGTTTTTATTCATCATCATCATCTTTAATTCAGCTAATACTGTCCTGTTCAGAAACCCTCAGTATTTTCACATTACTTTTTGGATAAAATACGAACTTCTCAGCCTGCTCTTCAACATCTTTCACAAACCAGTTCTGACCTACCTTTACAGCCTTACCTAATCTCACTCTTCTTCATACACATTATATACCAGCCAAACTAAACTCCTAGCTGCTCCCCAAATTCAACATTCCATTTCCCACATTTGTGCACTCATACAATACAACCCTCAATTTTAGGAATGTACTGCATCCTCTTATTTCAGAATCTGTATTTGTTCAAGGTTCATCTTACGTGTCATGTTCTTTATGAAACCTTCCCTTCCCTGATGCCTCCAGTTGTTAGTTCTCTATCTGTCTGTCTGTCTGTCTCTGTCTGTCTGTCTCCCTCTCTCCCCCATCCCTTCTTATCTTTCCTCTCTCTCTCCCCTCCTACCTTTCCTCTCTCTCACCTTCTAGCTTTCCCCACCTTGTAAAATATCAGAAGTCAAAGATTGTCTTAGTTTTGTCTTTCAATCCCCAGTGCTTAGCAAATAGCAAGCACTCAATGTATGTTTGTTGGTTTTAATTGAAGGGTGTCCCCATGCATTATTGCATTTTACTTTTAAACTCTACAAGTTGCATGAATAAAAATCCTCCTTTAGCTGAAGAGGAAACACATACTTGAAATAAAGGGCCAGGTCAGTAGCAATGATTGCGATATCCATCATGTGGATGGCATGCTCATGCTGCCTTCGATTAAGGTTCTGGAAGATGTTTAGATTCTGAGGAAAAACAAAAGAGAAGTGTATTTGTAAAGCTGTAGCATCCTCCTACCAAAGGATTTGGAGTGGCTGAGATGAAACCCACTCAATAGGAAGGCAATGTTTCATTTGTTTGGAGTCACTGACTAAAGAGTCTCTATGCCTTAAAAAGACAATATGACCTTTCTCTTGTTGTGAAAAAGGAGTCTCAAAAGAGGTGAGATGTGTGGGTGCAGGGATGAGCTCAAATGTCCTGAGCTTGAGTTTTGAGAAAGACTAGATTGGGTGTGGAGGGCGGTGGGGGTGCTGGTGATTGAAGAGATGAGGAATATGATCTCTTCTTTTGTCCCTTGCCATGATTAGGAGACATCTTCTAAATCACTTAGTGCAGTGCCTGGCACATGAGAGGTGTGTAATGCTGTTGTTGTTGTTATTGTTGTTATCCTGAGACCAAGATAGGAAGTGTACCTTGGTGGATCAGTCATTGCTGAATTTCTTCCATTCAGGAGAACAGATACTAAATGGTGATTTTTGCCTGTCCTTATTTATCCCCTCCTACATACCCCCCTCATCCCTGTTTTAGAGAGTATGTGATAAGTAAATCCAAAGTTGACCTTTCTTTAAACTTTATTACCATTGCTGTTCAATTAGTATTGAAAGTCATCATAAGGTGAAAGTATGATTGACCAAAGAAATTTTTACACATATGTATTTCATTAAGGGCAATGGGGGAAGTAAGATAGAAAGAGAGGTAGTAACTAACATGGTCCAAACACAGACAAGAAAATTTAGAAAGAAAATAGACTTTTGCAAGTTGCCAAGATCATTTTCAGCTGAGGGGCTCTGGAACTATATGAAAGAGAATTTTACTGATTCATATTCCATAATTTCTCAAAAAAGGGTAAAAGCATGAATCCAGCTTTTCCCCCAATAGCAATTTCTGTCTGGGGAGAAGATGAAGTATTTCTGAAGGCTACATGGCCCCTTGCCCATTGTTCTACTCTGTCATGCTCAAGGAGATCCCTTCACAGGACAGAACTGAGGATGGTGACTAGGAAGAAAATCACACCTAATGGAGAAGAGAAGTGCCTGGAAAAGACCCACTTCCAAAGGTGAGTGCCAGAGGTAGAGGAAGTAAAAATCCTAATCCTTTCTCTCCTACCATTTACATTCTTAGCATTCCTTAAGGCACTGAGAGGTTAAGTGACTTGACCAGGGTGGCATAATCAGCATGGTTCAGAGGTGGGATTTGAACCCTGGTATTCTTGGTTCTAAGGCCTCCTCTTTTCTTACTCTACCATGATGCCTCTCAATGAAGACTGGGCTCGTGTGTAATACTCCTTTTTATCTTACCTTTATCTCATTTTTTAATATTACAGGTCATTGATACAATGATTCACCACACTTCCAAAGGACTTTTGATGAAGAAGGCTATGCACTTCAGATAGAGAACTGATGGACTCAGAGGAGAGATTGAAGCATATTTTTTTTTCTCTTTCTTTTTCTTGTTTTTTTTTTGAACATTACTAATTTGGAAATATGTTTTGTATGACTACACATCCATATACATACATACACATGCATGCATGTGTAGTCTTTTAGGCAAATGTTTGCCATTCAAACAATGTGGCCAGCCCATGAGAGTTGTGCTTTCTGCATTTGAGTTTGAATGCTTGGCAGTTTAGCTGGAGAAAGGACCTCAATGTCTGGTATCTTATCTTGCCAGGTGATCTTCAGAATCTTCCTAAGGCAATTCAAATGGAAGTGATTCAGTTTTCTGACATGGTGCTGGTAGATTATATGCCTGTTTCACAGGCGTACAACAATGAGGTCAGCACAATGGCTCTGTAGATCTTCAGTTTGGGAGGCAGTCTAATACCTCTTCTCTCCCCTACTTTTCCTTCAGAGCCTCCCAAACACTGACGTAGCTCTGGCAATGTCTGCATCAACCTTATCATCTATATGTACATCCTTGCCAGGGATGTGTATAAATTAATATTTCTTGCCTTTACAATGGGTAGGGGATAGAATGGAGGGAAAGAGAGAATTTGGAACTGAAAATAAAATAAAATTAAATAAAATAATATTTGAATGGATCAATGTTGATATGTTTTCCAAAGACGTAAGCTGTAACCTACCTATGCTTTCTCATCATATGTTATTCTGGTCCATGATTTCCCACAAATCCTGCACAGGGATTCTTCCTGCCACCTAACTATGATCTTCATTGTGGTGGGAAGGGACCTCTAGGTCTTGTATTATTCCATGGGTGCTAAGGCAGTACTTAGGTTGTCCATCTATTACCCTTTGCTCTTATCATATAACCAGCCCACCTCCTTCAATGATTTTGCTCCAGAATTCTCTTCTTCCTCCTCATCAGCCAACTTGCCACCATGAAGATGCCTCCACTCTGAGGTCCCACTCTTCTAATTGGTGACTGTCTTCCCAGACCTAGTCAGGAAAGCCTCAGCCATGCTCCACATCATTCCTGACTCAACTCTCTAGACTTCTTTTCCTGTTTTTTCTCTTTTCCAGCTACCTTGACTTCTTCACTAGTACCCTCTTCCACTTTTTCAGCCCTAGAGATTTTCAATTCGCATTTTTTTGTGTGCTATCTTCACACACTATAGCATAAGCTCTTTGAGGATAAGGGCCTTTTTTGTTAACTTGTATTTGTATCCCTAGAACTTAACACAGTGCCTAGCACCATGTAAGCACTTAATAAATGCTTCTGTGATACACATCCTGGATAGCATCCCTTCCATCAAGTCTTACCCATGAGTCAAATTTGCTGATAAACTGCAGTCCACTTATACCCACCATGAACAATGATCACACATTAAAAATTAGAAGGGACCTCAGAGGCCATCTAATACAGCCTATCTATTTTACAGATGAGAAACAGAGGCCCAGAGAAGTGACTTGTTCAAGATCACACAGAGAAAATTATCAGAGGTAAGATTCAAATGCAGGTCTTCTGGCTCCAAATCTAGTACTCTTTCCACTATACCATACCACCTCTCAATGATGGTTTCTTCTATTGTCCTTTGAATGACTTGCAGTTTTGATTCTTCAAAAATCATGATGTTTCATCATTCATATGCATATAAGTACATAGGATAATATTAATGTTTGTTTGTTTTTTTGGACAGGGATCAACTTAAGACTGTCAAAAACACTGTAAAATTTCCTGAATGCAATCTCTTCCTCCTTCCTAGTCAATTCTGGGACCAGATCATTATCTAACTTAACTATTCAAGATATACATACTGCAGGGTTGACCCAACAGGTTTCTCAAACTGCATGTCATAGTCCTGGAAATAGGCAATCTTTAGCTGATTTTTTCTTTCTGGATTATTAGCACAATTTCTATTAGGTGTTTAAGAATCCCATTGAGGTGACCCTATAGGTAGTGGGGAGCTTGCAATCAGCCTAGCGTCACCTAAAAACAGGCAAATCTGGGGGATATCACCATCTATAGGGAATTCCTCTACCAATTAAACATGTGGTACAGTGGAAAATAACCCGGATTTTGAATCAGGAGACGAACATTCCAAATTTAGTTCTCTTATATTAAAAACTATGTAGAAGCAAGGGTACTAATACATTATTGGTAGAGTTGTGAACTGATCCAACCATTCTGGAGAATAATTTGGAACCACGTACGAAGGGCTATAAAACTGTGCATACCCTCTGACTCAGCAATACTACTACTAGAGCTGTACCCAAAAAGATCAAAGGAAAAGGATCCATATGTTCAAAACCATTTATAGCAGCACTTTTTGTGGCGGCAAAGAATTGGAAATTGAGTGGATGCCCATCAAGTGGGAATGGCTGAACAAGTCGTGGTATATGGTTCTGATGGAATACTATTGTGCTACAAGAAATAATTGGCAGAATAGTTTCAGAAAAAAACCTGGGAAGACCTATATTAATTGATATAGAATGAAATGAGCAGAACCAGGAGATCATTGTACACAGTAATAGCAATATTCTAATGATGATCAAAAGTAAGACTTGGCTATTCTGATCAATACGATGATCTAAGGCAGTTCCAAAGGACTCATGGTGAAAAGTGGTATCTACTTCCAGAGAGAGAACTGATAAACTCTGGGTGCAGATTGAAGCATACTTTTGCCACTTTCTTTATGTTTCTTGCTTTTTTTTTTTAACATAGCTAATATGGAAAAATATTTTGTGTGACTTCAGATGTAAAACAACAACAATGACAACTATGTGGGCTTGGCAGTTCACCTCTTGGGCCTTAGTTTCTTCATTTGTAAAATGAGGGAGTTGATCCCAAAAAGAGCAAAGAAAGAGGAAAGGGACTTATAGGTATAAAACTATTTATAACAGCTCTTTTTGTTATAGCACAGAACTGGGAAACTAATGGAGTGACCATAAATTGGGGGATGTTATGTAAATATAATGGAATACTATTGTGCTCTCACACGTGATGAAAGAGAGTTTCAGAAAAAGGAAGAGTTGTACGAATTGATGCTGAGTGGAGTAAAACCAAGAGAATAATTTATCCTATAACTTCAGTATCATAAAAACAGGCAATTTTGAAAGACTTAAAAATTCTGATCAATGCAGTGATCAACCACAATTCCAAAGGACTGATTATGAAGAATACTACCCACCTCCTTACAGAGAGGTAATGGATTAAATATGCAGAATGAAATACACCTTTTTGCCAATCTGGGAATTTGTTTTGCTTGACTATGCATATTTGTAACAAAGATTTTGTTTTTATTTTATTTTTTCCAGTGTGGGAAGAGGTGAGAAGAAGAAAAAATAAATACTAAATGTTTAAAAGTAAAATTTTAATAAAAAAGAAAGGCATAAGAAAAAAGGTGAAAAATAACAAAAAAAATATGATAAAATGAGAAGTTTTAATTTGATGACCTCTAAAGTACCTTGTAGTTTTAGAATTATAGTCATATAACATGTACTTCCCTCCTCTCATTGGAAAGGACTATGGGCTTAATGCATATTTGCTCAAACATGATTAACATATTAGTAGCATTGCTTAACATTTTGATATTATTGTTTTTATGGGAGAAGCCTTACTGGAAAAGGGAGGAAAGATAGATATAAGCAAAAATGACTGTGATATAAAATCAAAATGCATGGATAAGCTTTTTTAAAATGTCAACAAAGAAAAGAAGCACAGAATCTAATGACTGTACCTCATCCCTCAGCAGTGTTTTGCCAAATTCCAAATGATGTCTTTCCAAGATGGAAGATCCATGGAGTTTGGCCAGTGGATTCTGAGATCTGAAAATACAGGGTGGAGAACATTTTAGTCATTAGAATATTACAATGTAGGTTCTGGGAGGGGCCTCAAAACATAGAACACAGAATGTAAGTGTTGGAAGAGACTTTAGAAGACAGAACATGAAATGTCAGAAATGGAAGCTCTTTAGAACACAAAATATCAGAGCTTTCTGGCAAGGACCTAAAAACCTTCTGGTCATTTAGTCCAGCCCCTTCACTTTACAGAGAAGGACATAGGCCCAGAGATGGAAAATGATTTGCCCCAAGTAAGCCTCTTCCAGGTCTGCCATTCCACAGTTTTATGGTTCTGAGGATGATGATAAGGAGAAGAAAGGAGTCTCCTACAAATTGTCCGGGTTTGGCTGGGAAGGTGCTTTGGGGACCTGAGCTCACTTACTTCATCTGGTAAAGATTATTGGTGCCTCTGTGATCAATGTCATGGCAGAAAGCAGCAGTCACCATGGCCAAGGCCTCCAGGTCTGTGAAATATCGTTTCAGCTTCCCAGTCTATAATCAGAACATCTGAATCATTGACAACTTACTTAAAGCAAGTCAGCACCCCAGGAACAATGAAGGTACTCATGGACTATTCAGAGACCCAAAGGAAGAGTCCTGCATGGTAACAACCCCCTAGTCATCATTCTGGAGACTATAGTTAGGTGTTGGGTAGAATAGGAGTTGAGAGTCAGGAAACCTGGGTCAGCCACTAACATAGGATGAGATTTTTGGTAAGTTCTTTCCCCTCTGTAGACCTCAAAGAAGCAGATCAGAAGAGACGATCCTTCCAGTTCTAATCTTCGGTGAGTTTCTCAGGGTATATTGAGCAATCAGGATAACATCATGATGTCACATATCAAGATTGGAGAGAAAACTCACCTGGGAACAGGGGAGGCAACTCCTATCTGAATAATCATGAAGCTCTGTAGGATTTCTGAACAGCCTTTCTTGTGAGAAATTCAAGTGTTTGCAAATAACATCTGGGCCATTCTAACAGGGGTCATTGGAGGCCACTATTTCTGAAGTTACATCCCCAATTCAAGGGAGGTTCCACTGACCTCTGCCCTAGTCAGGCCCTATCTAAAGCATTGAGTTCAGTTCTGGGATCCTCACTTTAGGAGAGACATTGACAAATCAGGAGCACACCCAGAGGAAGGCAATCAGGATAAGTGAGGGGGACTGGAAATCATGTCTTATGAAGATTGGTGGAAGAATTGAAGGATGTTGAGCAAAAGAAAAAGACTTCTTGGATGGGGTGAGAAAAGAGACATGATTGATGTCTTTGAATACCTGAAAAACTATTCTGAAGAAAGACAGCCATTCTGCTTGGCCTCAGAGAACAGAATAAAGAGCAATGGGGGTAAATTAGAGTGAAGAGGACTTCAGCTCACTCAAAAGAAGAACCACACAATAAACAGAACTTTCCACCAATTGATTGAGCTGCCTTGAGACCTTCCCATCCCTGGGGACCTTTACACAGAAACTAGATGCACAATGATTGGAATCACTGTAGAAGAGAGTCGTTTGGGGGTGTGAGTTGGACTAGACCCTCTCTGGGCCCCCTTCCAGCTCTGAGATTCTAGAATTCTATGCTATGTAGTCAAGGGCATGCTGGTAAATGGTTAACAACTAGGTCTCCGGTGGGGGGGAAATGCAGGCACCATAAACTTTTAAGTTAAATCTGTTTCATTAACATTTTCTCCATCACTTTTGTAACTCTGAGCAATTATCAAAATTAAAAAAAAAACTCTGATTTGTAGCTTTTGCCGATTTCCAAGGTATAAGTGGTCACGCTGAAAATTTAAGTCAGGTCTCTTGAGCCAGTACAATTACAGTGGCTCCAGTATACATCGGCATGGTACCCATGCCAGATGCTGGCATGTGGGAAGAAGGCAATGACAAGAGCCTGTGACAGTACTTTTGTCCACCTGGGGGCCTGGGAGTACCCACTCCTCACTTCACATCATGGCTTCCTCAGTGTTCTTCCTCCATGAGGCATGTCAGGATGGATGGAAGGACTTTGAGTAGGGAAAAAGTCAGAAGTGGCTTGATTTTGGTTGTCTTGGGTAAACAGAAGAACAGAAAACTCTAATCATGTAAAGCCTGGAGTTACTTTGTACCATTTGCTCCTAATTCATTCATTTAATACTCCATCTACTAGGAAAGTCATGTACTCTTCCTAAGCCTTCCTGGTTTGAGTATAACTGAGGAATTTGTCTCATGGGTGCATAAATACTTGGTCACACAAATAAGGGTAGAGATGGATTTATTCTTTAGTTCTGCATTCCTTTCTCCAAATGACCAATTTACATACATAAGGTTCAGACCAGGGAAGGTCTAGACACAACACCCATAAAGGTAGTTATGTGTACTGGACTTGGAATCAGGTGACCTGGGTTTAAATCTGGCTCTGCTGCTGTTACCTTTGTGACCTTGGGCTGGTTACTTTCCAGGCATCTGTTTCAACCTCTGTAAAATGAAGAGGTTGTACTAAATGGTCACCTTGCTCTCATCCAGCTCTACGTCCCATGGTGCCTCACTTTTGGGTCAACCACTTAGTGAGTGTTTGCTGCCACTATTTCTCCTAACTTTGCAGGATTTCCCTAAACCCAGGGAACCTACAGGGAAAAAGCATAGGGTTTTCCTTCTCCTTTTCCTCCTCAAAGCAGTACACCATTTTGTTTTCTATTTTTAAAAGGAATCTATTACAAGCATTATAATGTGAGTGTAGTATAAAGAATATACCAATAGCAGGTAAAAATTGGTTAAAGCTTATAAGTCATGAAGAGGTCCACAGTCCTAGGCATAAAGTACAGGGAATAGGATGCTTCATTTTCTTTGCTTAATTCCAATTCTCTTGACGAGGACTATGATCCAGGTCACTGCATTTCAGCTCATTGGAAACCATTTCTCCAACCTTCAAATACAGATACAGAACCTCTCTACCCTCTGCAGAAGTGGGGGACTATAGAGTGGAATATTGTACATATTGTTAGATAGGATTACAGTATTGATGGGTTTTGTTGAATGATCTTTTTTCTTTTTTCTTTTTTTAGACCTTGTTACAAGGAATGCCGTACTGGATAGAATAGGAAAGGAATGTTCAAGAATGAAGTGAAGCTAAAAAATGAAAAATAATAAAAATTTTAAATTAATTAAAAAAATAAAAATAGCAACATTTAAAAATTGACTCCTGCCCTACTCTTGATTCTCAATTTGAAAGTCTTCTCTGCGTGGACCCCAAAGTCTTCACTTCTCTTCAGGTCCCAGCATTCACATGACATCTCAGAGCCAGAAGGACCTCAGCCTCTAGTCCTACCCTGTGCCTGAACAAAAATTCCCCATAAAACATCCCCAATAAGGTGCCATCCAGCCTCCACTCAAAAAATCTTCACTAATGGAGAACTTGACTGCCTCTGCTCTGTCTTGTGCACCTCATTCTATCTCCATGTACTAGTCCATGGGAGCTTCTCCCTCTTCCACCTGTACCCATATGCCTGAGACAGCTTCCTTAGATGGCTTCAGAGCAGTGATAACATATTCCTACTTTCTCTTCTCCCCCAATCCCCCTTCTTCTCCCAAGAACTGGGCAATCACAGCATCAAACCTACCACAAGCAATGAGAACATGGTCTGTCCCACGTTGAATCCATGGCGCCAGTTATGGTAGGTAATTCTTCGGTACCCTTTGCTGAGAGAGTACATGAACCGTACTAGAGCCTGGGTATGGACATGTGAAAAGACCATGGAGTCAAAAGAGGGAAACTCATAGGGGTGATATGACACAAATGTGAAGAATTGATATCACACCATCTCCTAGAAGACATAGACTATTTCAATTTTCCTATATCTCCAGCTCCCCCACAAGTAGTACTTTATACTCTTAAAAAAAATTCTAGAGCTGTGATTTTACCATTGTAGGAAATTCCCTGTGTGGATGCCCTTTCCATCATAAGATCATACATTTAGAGCTGGAAGGAACCTTCCTTCCACAGACTATTTAATCCAACCCCCACATTTCATAGATGAGAAAACTGAGGACCAAAGAGGTTAAGTGACTTGTCCAGGTTCACACAGCTAGTAAATACCTAAAACAGGTCAGGTCTTCCTGACCCCCAAAGCCAAGTGTATCTATTACTCCCTGTTATTTCTTGCTGTGCACATCTCACATGCTTAATGAATGTTTGTTGAGGTGAGTTGAATTGAATTTTAATAATATCAGACCATAGAATGGAGGAAAATCTGACTCAGAAAAATTAACACCATCAACACCACCTTCCTGCTGAAGGAGTAGCACTTCATGGGGCAGTTCAAGGAGTCTTGACCTAGGAGGCAGCATGGAGTGATTGTGTGACCATGGACAAGTCCTTTCCCTTTGGGAGATTTGGAAAGGGACAAGTCCTTTCCCTTTGGGAGATTTGGAAAGAACTATGCTCCAGCAGCACCCTATTGTGTGTAGGAATTTGAGCTCATCCTTTTGTACACATAGGCAGATAGGTGGTACAGTGGTTAGAGTGCTGCCTGTAGAGTAAGGAAGACCCGAGTTCATATTCTGCTTCAGCCTAGTTGTGTGACTTTGGGCAATTCACTTAACCTCTCAGCCTCAGTTTCCCAATCTGCAGAAAAATGAATTTCCACCGTATTTATGATGAACAAGGCATGCCTCCACAGTTCTCATTCCTGAGGTTTTCACAGAGCTGCAGTGATCATTATAAAAATGATCAGAGTAACACAAAGTGAATTTGAGGTCACTCTCTGGAAACCATGTAGAACATTTTGAAAAAGAAAAGGAAGTCAGAGGTCTGGGGTGTGAGCCTCACCTCCTGGGGTATGTGAAACTTATCCACCACTTTCAGTTCATAATACATCTGGATTCCACATTTCACCAGCTCCAGCTCTGTCAGGGGCAGGTCACTGAAGTGGAATTTATTAATTTCATATTTCTCTGCATCTGGGAGCTCATCTTGCTAAAGAAAGAAAGAAAGAAAGAAAGAAAGAAAGAAAGAAAGAAAGAAAGGAAGGAAGGAAGGAAGGAAGGAAAAGAAAGAAAAAGAAAGAGAGAGAGAAAGAAAAAAGGAAAGAAATAAAGGTCATTCTTGGTGAGTTAGTACAAGACTCAGGGAGAAGTCTGCCCTTGGCACAGAGCTCTCCTTCTCCCTTGTCTTCCCTTGGGAGCAAGGTAGAGGGTAGCTCATTAGTCCCCCCTGCCAGAGTAAGGACAGCTCTAGCAGGTCTCTGAATCCAGCTCTCTTGTTCCTTGGCTTTCAGACAAAGGGGAGAGCCAAGGGCTCTGCAGACTCTTGGGTCAGGACCTGGTGAGGGAAGGCCCAAACCAAGCTGTCACTTGAGAAGAACAACTGGCAGGTTCCTCAACCCACCACATTGAAGGAGCAGTTCCCCAATCTCACTAATTAATAATCTCATCTTCCACCTGAGTACAATAGAATTCCAATCAGGAGGAGGGAAAAAAAGCAGCAGAGAGGAACCACAGTGTGGTGGTATAGTGGACAAAGAGGATGACAGTAGACCTGGGTTCAAATCCCAGCTCTACTAATGACTTATTGTGGGACTCTGGGAAAGTCACATATCCTCTTGTTCAGACCTGGAATGTAACTCAGTGTGGCCTTATAAGTGAGGGGACAGATGCAAATCAATATTCGCTCTCTGATGTGACAGCCACCAGGAAAAATCTTTCTCCTCCCAAATATCTCATCCATTACCTATCCCCAAGCCAGAAAGTCCACCATTAAGTTCATGACTTTGAATCCCATAGTCTCTTCAAGTCTTCCAGAATCTCCTGCAAATCCTTCTGGCCCAGATGCCACCTCAAGTTCTTATCGATTCCTCACCTCAATGGGACAGGGACAGAAGGAGGTAGGGACAAGGCCCTTGTCCAAGGCCAGCCTGTGCCCTGTCCATCACAAAGTTACCAATATTAGATCCCAGCAGACATTGTACTAATTCTACTCACTAGAATTTCAGCTAACTCCTCTTCTTCACAGTCACAGGGCTCCCTCCCATACACTTCTCTAGTTTTCTGGAAAGAAATAAAGGTGGGGGTGGGGAGGTGAGAGAGAGAGAGAGAGAGAGAGAGAGAGAGAGAGAGAGAGAGAGAGAGAGAGAGAGAGAGAGAGAGAGAAAAGTGAAACAGAATGAAGGCATCAGCACATATACAACACACATGCTACCACTTCTCTCCTCTAGTCTGTTCCCCAGTGTTCTTTGGTAACACGAGCTCCTACTTCTAGTACTTTCGAGTTTACAAAGCACTGTTCCTCAAAATCCTACTTTACAACCATTGTTATCCCTATTGTACAGATGGGAAAACTGAGGATCAAAGATAGGAAGTGACTTGAACCCATTCTCACAATGACAGAGCCAGGACTTCTGATGTCCAGGCTAGTGTTCTCACCACTAAATGATACTGCCACCCTATAATCCACAGAGTCCTAGGAGAAATAAGGAAATCATCCATGTAATGGAAAGGATGCTCGCTTTGGACCAAGAGGATCTAGATTCAGGTTCGAGCTCTCTCACTTACTACCTGTATGGCCTTGGACAAGTCCCAACCTTAGAAGTTTTCCCTAGTTCAACTTAATGTTAGTGCCTTCTCTCTGAGATTATCTCTGACTTATCCTGTCCATATCTTCTTGATACATTGTTGTTTTCTCTCTACCCCATTTGAGTTTTAGCTCCTTGAAGGCAAGGGCTGTTTTTGCCTTCCTTTGTATCCCCAGCTCTTGGCACAGTGCCTGGCACATAGGAGGTGTGTAATAAACACCTGTTGATTTGCTGGCAACCTCTCTCAGCCCCAGTTTTTCTCATCTGAAAAATGAGGGATCAGATTGGATAATCTCTAAATTCCCTTCCATCTCTAAATCTCTTCCCTTAAAGGTCTCTCTTCATCTCAGACTATAGATTCAAGAGCTAAATATTGACGTCTTTTCTAAAAACTGATACTGTTTCTCAGTTCAGATAACCAGACAGCCAGTTTGGCCAAACTCATCGAGCAGGGATTCACTGATTATACCAGGCATGTGGGCGATGAGCATTTATTAAACACTTACTATATGCCAGGCATTGTGCTAAGCATTGGGGGAAAAAAAAAGGCAACAATAGCCCCTACCCTTAAGGGGGTGTTAACTTTTAAGTCTCTCACCTAGGAGAGGCAGCAAAGTGACACAATGAATAGAACACTGGGCCTGGAGTCAGATACTAGCTAGCTGTGTGACCCTGAACAAGTCACTTAACCTTTATCTGCCTCACATTCCTTAACTATAAAATGAGAATAATAATAACACCTGCCTCCCAGGGTTGTTATGAGGTGATATTTGTAAGGCACTAAAGGTCCCTTCCTTTAGGGGCTAGACTAGTGTCCTACACATAGTAAATGCTTAATAAACATTTCCTTATTTGCAATCAGTTCTGAAGGAGAACAAAGACAGGATCTCTACTCACATGGAGCTCAAAGTCAAGTAGGGAAGGTAAGACAAAGATAGCATAATACAAAATAAACATGGAGCAGTGGGAAAAGTCTGGATTTAAAGTTCAAAGCCTTTGAATCAGCCACTATCACTTACTACCTATGTGACCTTGGGCAAGCTATTTGACTTCTTGTGGCCTCAGTTTGTTCACCTGTGAAATGAAAGGGTTGGACTTCCAGCTCTAAGATCCTATGATCCTAAGTGCACAGGAGAGGTACAAAATATCAAGAGTCCAGATGATATCACAACTGGGGGAGGGGGCATTTCAAAAAAGACTGCATGAAGCAGCTAGAAAGAAACAATTCAAATATTGTGGAAACACAATCAGGATAACACAAGATTTAACAGCTTCTACATTAAGGGACCACAGGGCATGGAATATAATATTCTGGAGGGCAAAGGAGATAGGATTACAACCAAGAATCACCTACCCAGCAAAACTGAACATAATTCTTCAGGGGAAAGAATGGACATTCAGAGAAATAGAGGACTTTTAAGCATTCTTGATGAAAAGACCAGAGCTGAATAGAAAATTTAACTTTCAAATGCAAAACTCAAGAGAAACATGAAGAGGTAAACAGGAAAGAGAAATCATAAGGGACTTCTTAAGGTTGAACTGTTTACATTCTTGTAGGGAAGGATGATATTTGTAACTCATGAGACCTTCATCAGTATTAGGGTAGTTGGAGGGAAAAAATTATATGTATGTATGGATAGATAGAGAGAAAGAGAGAGAGAGAGAGAGAGAGAGAGAGAG